CAGAGAGGCAGGAGGGGAGGGGGGCGGCCCTGTATACCCAGCCGCTTCATTCTTAAATATGCACCGAAGAAGCAGAGGGAAAGGGGAGAAAAAGCCCTGTCTTGCCCGCTGCCGACAGGCACCCTGCTTGGCAGTGCAGCTGTGACAAGGGCGCTTGCTTTTGCTTGTACCGCATTCTGATGAATCAAATTTATGTGCAAATATAGTTATTTATTTGCTGGCACGTCCTTTGACTCCAGGACAGCATCAGAAGCCCAGCGGAGGGTTACTGTGCTCTGCAGAAGGAGGGGAGGGTGCGCGGGGGGAAAGGAAGACGCGGCCAGATCCAAGTCCAGTGCTATGAATTAAAGCGGTGGCTGGACATTTTGCAAATATGACTGTGGACTTCGTGATTTTCTCCGGCGGATACGCACGCTGTTTATTGCCTGTTGTTTGCAGAGAAGTGTGGTCGATAGGATGCAGGGGGGGGGGAAAAAAATCTCCATAAGAGGCTCCATTTACTGGAAGTATATTTTATGGAAAATAGAGCCCAGCAAATGGTAGGGACGGCTGACTAATAATTAAAATCACATGTAAATATTGTGCATGCAAAAGTGTGGTTCTAATTAGTTTTACATCGCTATGTGGGCTGTCTCGCTCTCTGTGTGTCTCCTTCTCCCTCTCTCCCCCTCTCTCCTTCTCTCTTTCTTTTTCTTTTCATGTCTTCCCAACAGTTTAATCAGAAATCTTGCAGACATCCTATTTTAACAACGTTCTGTCTCCCCATTTGGGATTGTAAAGGCCCATAATGAAACTATTATCCCTCCTTAGAGTTAGGGAATTGCAAAACAGTTACAAGAGCTCCACAAACAAGAAGCCCGTTATTTTCTAAAAATTAAAAAAATGCAAATAAAGATCTCCTCGACTATTTTTGTGGCCATTGTATAGACATGCAGTAATAGAAAAAAATAATTGTATTTCTTTCCTGGAAAGACGGAACTCGACGTCATTTGTATTTATTATTAAGAGTCAGCTGTGGTGAAATGTGATTGTAGAACTTCCTTTTTCCATTCAGAAAAAATAATCTTAGCTGCAGGAGTCCTGGATGTTTATATTCGAATTTGGGTTCTCAACTTGCAGCGGGTTTCATTTTTTTGGTTCCTCACCAAAAATAATAGCAAATGAATAACAATAACAATAACGTTTAAAAGAACGTGTCGGTATTTTTATTTCCCTGTATTTTTCTTAAATTGTTCACTGCCAGCATCCACGTGTCAGGAAAGGGTTTACAGAAAGCAAGAGTTAAAATATAGCGAATAATTACAGACATTTTTCACGCGGTCAGGTTGTTGATAATAACACTCGAGCTTTCGCCTCTCTTTTTGTCCTTTTACAGCGTATTTCCCCCGAAGTATATTTTACAGACGAGCCGCGAGGCTTACGAGGAGCAGCATTAGCCTCATACAACATGCGTTGCAAATAATTTAAGGATCACGATGACTTACACATATGCAACAGACCACAAACAGGGCAAAAATACACGTTCACAACAAATCGTAATATGAAATCAGAACAATTAGGAATGAAGCACTGTTTTAGCAATCGCGGCTAAATAGAAATACTCCCTGACCTCCATCCCGGCATAATCAAATCAGTAAAGCTACAATTCCGCTGGCTGTTACCCCCAGCTGCAACAGGAAGGACTTCGTCATTTTTAAGTAAGGGGCATCAGTAAGTGCTATTTCATTAGCAGTACACTACAGAGCGGGTTCATAGGCTTAGGGCTTTCGGGGAGGATTCTGCAGGCATTTGCGATCTCCATTGAACTGGAAGTTCAGGATCGCCTTTTCCCAGGGTTTCCTGCCATTGCAAACGTTTCTTACGGACTCGCCCGTTCTGCAAATACACAGAGGCATTTTGGCACAGCGAGTAGAAAAAAAAAAGATTCAGATTTTGGGGGAAGCAATCCAAAATCAGAATGATGCCATTCAAGTGGGAACTAGAGCACAGAGGCAAACCTATATACAAAGGCTATATAGGCACGCACATACACGCATATGTACCGTTAATACAGTCCCTGTGTGTACATAGACGCAGCAGAAACCCCGTCAGACGCGCAGTGTGTACATAGACAGACACAGGCGCTTATAGTTGACTGCAATGCAAAGGTCTGCTCCTGAGCCAGCCAAGGCGTCTCTTTCTAAAAGGATCCAGCTAGGGATCCAGCGAAAATCCGCTTTCCAAACTACTCCGAGTTTCTGCAGCTCAGTTGGGAGTTTCAGAAAAGTTATTTTTCTTGTTTAAACGGGAAAAAAGGCCGCCACGAACAAATAAAATACAAGAAAAAGGAAAAAAAAAACCAAACGAGGGTATTTTTCCTGCTCCTTTTTTCTCTTTTCTGCTCTTCTTTTCTTTTAAGGGTGTTCCCCTCTCCCAGGCTTCCCCCCAGATCCTACTAGCCAGGCGCGGTGCCGGGCTCCGCTTGGAGTGCGAGCGGAGC